AATTTAGACTAGAACTTAGCATCAAATTTAATCAAAGAGCTTTTGCAAAATAAGACTTAAGTTCAGGTTTACTAAGCACCTGCACGCTAGAGACCACACAAACCTCTTGTACATGCTGCTGTATTTAGTTAGCAGATAAGGGACTGAGGAGTATCAGAAATTCCTCACTGCTCTCAGTGTCTTCTACAGTACCCACTAGTTACCTGCTCAAGTTAGTTCTGCTGCGAAATGAACTTTTGGGCTCCACTCCCAATCTATTTCTTAACAGCTTTATAGAAATATATTTATACATGATAAATTTCACCCACTTATTGTGTACAAAAAATAGGTTTTCGAATATATTTTCAATGTTGTACTGATACCACAATCAAAATGTAGAACATTTTTCAACCCAAAGCAGTCATCTGCCCCTTCATTTTCATACCAGCTCATCTTGATCCTACCCTGATAGCCCTGGGTAACTAATAATCTACCATTTGCAGATTTGCCTATTTTACACATTTCATATACAGAATCATATAATATGCACCTTCTGTTCCTGGCTTCTTTCACATAAAACTTTCATTTTATCACTGAATGATATTCCATTATATGAATAAGCCACACTGTTGATGGCTACTTGGGTTGTTCTTACTTTTGATATATTATATATAATGGTACTGTGACTATTAAGGTACAAGTTTTGTGGAGATATGATTTCACTTTTCTTCAGTGTACATTTGGTAGTGAAAATGCTAAGTCACATGGTAATTCTATGAGGAAAATCTTCAAAAACTGTCAAACTATTTTCACTTTCCATTTCAACAAGAAATGTGTAAAGATTTCAATTTCTCTACAATCTCATCAACATTGTTATTATCTGCCTTTAATTTAGGTACTCTAGCAGGTATTTAAAAGTATCTCGTGGTAGTTTTGATTTGCATTTCCCTAATGTATAATTCTATTGTTTTTGCATGTTTGTTGGCCATTTGTACATCTTTATCCATTTGTATAGCTTTATAAAAAATGTCTCCACAAACATTTTTCCCATTTTCCTAACTGGGTTATTTGTTTTCTGATTGCTGAGTTGTAAGAGTTCTTTGTATAGGTTAGACATAAGCTCCTTATCAGATAGATGACTTGTAAATCTTTTTCATCCTATGAGCTATCTTTTTATTTTCTTGATAATGCTTTTTGGCACACATAATTTTTTAATATAAAGGACAATTTACTGTTTTTTGTTGCCTATGAGTTAAGATAAGGTCATATATCATTAAAGTGGGCTCTAATTGATATGTCTGGTGTCCTTTTAAGAACAGTAAATTGGGGGCTGGAGAGATGACTCAGCAGTTAAGAACACTGGTTGTTCTTGCAGAAGACCTGGGTTCGAATCCCAGCACCCACATAGCAGCTAACAACTGTCCGTAACTCCAGTCCCAGGGGATCCAACAGCCTCTTCTGATCTTCACAGGCATTGCGTGACACAGGTGCACTCACCTACATGCAGGCAATACATGCATATACATAAAAAATAAAAAATAATAAATAAAATTTTAAAAAAAGAATAGTAAATTAAGAAGGAAACCAAATGCCAAAGAGGTATAATGCGAAGATAAAGAGAAAAGATGGTTGTCTGTAGTAGCTGCCACTTAATCTGTAATGAATATGTTGTTAGCCCCAGTGGATTCTGAAGACTCACATAGTACCAAAAACTTATAAATACTATGTTTTTATCTTTATATACAGAACAATTATAAGGTTTAGTTTCTATGCTACACAAAGAAATTAAACAGCAATAATAAAATGAACCAATTAAAACAATATACTGTAACTGCCACCATCCTTTTTCTTATGCTTTAGAGCCATTTTTTAAAATATTTCATTTATTCTTTTTATTTTATGTGTATGAGTGTTATGCCTGCATGTAGGTAAGTGCACCCATGTTGTGCAATGCCCGTGGAGGATGGAAGAGGCTGTTGGATCCCCTGGAACTGGAGTTACAGACAGTTGTTAGCTGCCATGTGGGTGCTGGGAATCAAACCTGGTCTTCTACAAGAACAGTCAGTGTTCTTAACTGCTGAGCCATCTCTCCAGCCCCTACAGCCATTATTAATAGAGGTACATGAACAAATGCATAGTCAATGTAAAAGCCAAGATAGTTTCTAAGTAACTAGTAAGTGGACAGCATATACAGGATGGAAACACTGGACAAAGAGATGATTCCTATCTAGGAATGCATTAAGCAAATGGTGAAAAATTTCATCAAATTATTCCCAACAATGTGCAACTTAAAACTACAACAACCCCACGAGAAAGGTATTTTTCTAAGTAAACTTATTAGTTAGGAACAAGGAAGAGCACATAAATGAATGAATGAATGAATGAATGATGGGGCAAGAAAAAAAATCCTGTCTACTATTTCCTTTAAAACATCTGTCAAACTGTTTGGAAGGGAAGTATCTTCTCTGCAAGAACAATGAGAAGTCAAGGAACACAGCGTCTTCTTATAGGAATTCATCAGCACAGGTTCAAAAGCCTACAAAAGCTTCCTTCCTCATTCAGAATATAAGCCCAAGTACCTACAGCACCAGCAAGGCCTGTCATGAATGGGTCATTGCACCTTTTTAAAAAAATTTTTTTTCATTGCACCCTTTAAAGCTCATGTTTGGCTGATTTCTTTCAGTACATCTCTTTTAAGGCATGGCAGCTTTCTTGAACAGGCCTTCAAGTTTCAGCCTTGACAGTTATTCTTGCCCTTTATTCCCCAGACACTTCCCAGGTCAAAGCTCAAAGTTCAGTGGCTAAGGTCTTCCATCCTACTAATGAATATAAAATCAGCCTCTGCTCTAGCTGAACTAGTATTTCTTACAACCTAGACTCATCCCACCACACTGTTTTTTTTTTTCTCCAAGCACCTATTAGTTTCTGAAATACTTTGTATTTTTTATTGTCTGACTGCCTCCCAGCTAGGTAAGAGGGCTAATGAATGCACTAAGAATTCTACTTAACTACTTTACTGTTATCACCCAGGGGGTACTCAGTAAAGGTTTTTTGTTTGTTTTTGTTTGGGGTTTTGTTTTTTTTTTTTTGTTTTTTTTTGGTTTTTTTGAGACAAGGTCTCTCTGTAGTCCCAGATGGCCTAGAACTTGACCAGGCTGGTCTCGAACTCACAGAGATCCACCTGCCTCTGTTTCCCAAGTGCTGGGATTAACGGCGTTCACCACCACACCTGGCTCAGTAAAGGTTTTTGCAGGGCCATATATTATATTGTCCTACTTAGTGGGCTGAGATGAAGTCAGTGGCTTTTCCTGGTCTATACTTTCTTTACTTCCTTTTTTATACAGCTACTACCTTCAATCAGTGACGCAAGGGGACAAGCAAAAGTCCCGAAGCCAAGCTTCTTTTTACTTTTGTGTTACGTACAAACTTGGGGAGACAGCCTGTTTTAGACTCTGAACTCACTCCTATCTGTTCTTTTAGCACTACATCAACAGCTATTTGAATGGGTCTGGGGATTTTTGTAAAAAATCTATTCTACATGAAAGTAGGGTTTCCCTGTGAGCAGCAAACCCATATTTGTTCTGCATTTAACATATCCTCCAACTTCATGTTTGCGAGAGGCCAAAGGGACTATGGCAGCAGGAGGCAAGCTACAAGGAGCTGAAAGCCATCCTTGTAACCAATTATTATTCCTCAGGTCATGCCATGGTAAAAATCTTACTTCATCTGAAGAGAAACAAACAGGAAAATAATAGTACGTACACACACACACACAGGAAAACAATAGAGCCTGCATACACACATGTTTAAAAATCTAAAACACAAGAGCAGGAAGATGAAAAAAGTTATTAATAAATCCAGATGTTTACCCAATGGAAAAGATTAAGTGAATTATGAAACACTAATTCACGGTGATCATTTAAATGACTATCAAGATCATGGTTCCAAATAGAAATATTAATGAAAATCAAGTTAAACTTCAATATGAGAAAATGATATGTAATCATGTTTACTTTAAAAACAGATCAGAAACACCATATACCCATAATAATTTTAAGTAAGATCTATGGCCACAGTTGAGTTTTATAGGCTGATAAGAGTAAAGTGCTCAGTTGGTAAAGTGTCTGCCTTGCAGGAAGGAGGACCTAAGTTTGATCCCCAGAACCTACATAAAAAATGCTCAGGCTCATGTGTGGGTTTGTAATCCCAGCACTGGGGGAGCAGGAGAAAAGGTGGTTCCTAGAAAATTACTAAACTGGTTAGCTTAGCCTACTTGGCAAGTTACAGGCCAATGAAAGACCCTATCCACCCCCACAAAGGTAGAAAGTGCCTGAGGAATGACACTTGAGACTGTCCTTTGACCTCCACACATATGTGCACATACTTGCACCAACATACATATGAATATACTCATAAGCAACCATAAGCACACACATAAGAAAATACAGACTTTTGTTTACTTGTTTATTTAAAAATTTAATTTAATTTTATATATACATATACATATATAAGTATGTATGTATATTGCCTGCATAAAAAGGTGTTGGATCCCCTGGAACTGGAGTTACAAATGGTTGTTAGACACCATGTGGGTACTGGGAATCCAACCCAGGTCTTCTGCAAGAGCACCCAGTACTCTTAACCGCTGAGCCATCTCTTCAGCCCCTGCTTGTTTAAGTTACATGATTTTACTGAAATATTGTTAAGACAGACAGGATCTCCCTGTAGACCCAGTTGGCCTGGAACTCACTATGTAGACCAGGCTAGTCTCTATCTCATAGAGATCCGCCTCTGCCTCCCCAGTGCTGGGATTAGGCATGCACCATGACACCTGGCTCCAGATTTCTATTAGGATGAAATTACATTTATTTTCTCTAAGGACATAAAATATTATTTTAATAAATTTGAATTATTTAAATGTCAGAAGAATAGTATTTGTCAAAGATCTGACAAGAGACAGAATACTGGGATAGACCTAGGACCTTTCAAATGTAAAATGAAGAAAATGAATAGGTTCTTACCCTTGTGTCTCTTCAGCTGAGGAAAGCTGCTAATTGTAGTTGCTTGAATTATTTCCACTACAATCTGATACCTGATTTTAAAAGAAAGAGTAAAGACTTAATAGGAAGAAAATATTTTTAGAGGTGCTTTTAAACTATATTTATACCAAATGAGTATAACACAGGGGCTTGAGGCTACAACCTCATAAAAATAAACCAAATGGCCTGAATACCTATAAAAGGTCAGGCACCATCCACATGCTGATCACTCCTGAGGCCCTAATGTAAGAATCACTCTGTTCTGGCACAGATCATCACTATTTGTCCTCACACTGAAAAAAAGACATCATGTTTAGCTTTGAGGGTCATGTTAAACTCCTCCCATTCATCCAATAACTAGAGCCAATTGGTTCTCCTAAATTTTCATTGTCCAATAAGAGAGCCAAAAGCTACATGTTATATTTATAACTGTACTAAAATTTTAGGGTTGGAGATGTAGCCCAATGGTAAAAGGCTTGCCTCATACATACAAGGCCCCAAGTTGAAGCCCCTCTTTCACCAAAAGGAAAAATTAAAAAGTTCTCAGTCACACCAGCCACATTTCACGTGTTCAGTAGTTTCTTGAGGCATTTGGACCATGCTGGACCTTATGAATAGGAAGAATAATACCTCCCTAAACAGCTCCAGCCCTGCTGCCTCTGTCCTGGCACATTTCTTGATTACTTCTCACAAGACTGATCCAGCCCCTTAGAGGCAGAGCATCTGCAGTGGGACTCTGACATGATTCTTTCCTAAGGCTGTCTCAGTACTTCTACTGCATTGAGAGCTGAGAACCACTAGCTTGGAGCACAGGGAACATGTGTATATGTGACTGAAAGGACCTCAGTCAGGAAGAACAATGAAAAGTTTATACTTTAGGTGCTAGGTACAAGTGCAGGGTTGTGGCTATTTTGAGTGTATCTAATTGGGCTTTAGAAATAAAGTTCCTTAAGAGTCACTCAATAGTCCCTAGGTATTTCCTAACCAAACAGATCTGTTCTGAGTGTTTTTAAGCCTCTAAGTACATTTTTTTTTTTTTTAAAGAATTTGCTTACAGGTAGGTATTGTGGTGCACTCAGGAGGCAGCGGCAGGCAGATCTCTCTAAGTCCCAGCCTGGTCTACATAGCCAGTTCCAGGCCAGCTGGGGACACAGGGAGACCCTGTCTCATAGACCTCCCCCCCAAATTTACTCACAATAAAGTTATCTAACATTAGTTCTTACTTTAAATACAAACTTCAGCCAGACCTAGGAGTGCACTGGTGGTGCAGATCCCAGCTTCTTAGGAAGTTGTGCCAGGAGGATCACAAGTTTGAGGCCAGCCTAGATTACAAAGTGAGTAAGGACCGGACTGGGAAACTTGGTGAGACCCTGTCTCAAAATGCAAAAGAAATGAGGACTGGGGACACAGCTCAGTGACAGAGCACATGTCTCACATTCACAGAGCCTTACTTTTAAAACAAAACTGGTTAGCTTTTCAAGTAAAAAATAACATTCTTTTCACCCAAAGCCAGAAGACAGACACAAATTCATCAAAGCTACAGCTAGCTATATGCTCCTCACACATTCACATCCTTTCTGTTTCTTCAGTTGTACAATATAAACACCAATGTCTGATTCTCACCATCTCAAAGACAGACTGTTAGGAGCACTGACACCCTGTCACCTCCAGACTGTGGCAGACACTGCTGCTTGCCTGTCCAATATCAACTTCCCATTCCTAAATGAACCACAGTTTTATCAGGGAAAGCAATGCACTTAGCCAAAAACATCACGAGCAGTTAGGAATGGCCATCTGACAGAGTTCTAGCATATGAGATTAAAGCAGAAGCTGGAAAAGGCAATCCCAGAAAAGCATTCTCAATGGCAGACTGCATAGAAAAAGCCCCTGCAACATTTTCTCTTTGCTTTTCTATCACTCTCCTATTTGAAGCAAGGATGCAATGGGACAAAGGGACAGCAGCCACTTCCATCCTTCAAGAACCATGAAGACAAACTACATATTAAGAATGGTAAGTTGAAAGACATGAACAGTTTAGGTCTCCAATGCCATCCCTAAGCCATCAAATCAGGCACACAGAGAGAGACAAGCTCATGGAATGCTACTATATGGGGGACGGGGCAGGGGGGAGCTAATTTTCTTAAATCACTGTATAAACTTGCTTTATGGCCAAAGGTCATGAATACATATTCTTGGATATATATTTAGGATCTGATTTCCAAATTGAAGCCTTGCTGGGAACATTAAGGTTAACAGTTCACTGACAGAACTACCTTCATTCCACCAAATATTAGCAAAGTACAAAAATGCATCCTTACATGACTTGTCTGGCAATTTGCTAAGAGATAAGGAAACCACTTACAAGAAGCCTCCACACACCTGGAACTATCAAAGCCCACCACTCCCTAAATAAGTCTTTAACCTTGAGTCTTGCTTGGAGAGCACTGACTTATCAGTGTGTCCGCAAGCACCTCCTTGGATGCTGCCATCTGGATATCCTGAAACAGTCTCAATGTCTATCCATACAGCCATTTCAATCTTGAGAACATGTAGTTAAATAAATAATTTAACAGATGTGATCCCACACACTAAAAAAACGCCCCAAACTACGGTGTTTGTTGTAGGGACAAAGAAAAACATGGAAATAATCTATGGGTCAAAAGTGTTTTCAGTAAACATTTGTTAATTTCTTCCTATTCTCTGGACATGTATGAATGAACAACATCAATTCAGTCTGTTTTCAAGAAGTTCTGAAAATAGACCAGATTAAAGGGAAAGCACTTAATCAATAATATTTATAATTACAAAGATATTTGAAAATACATTCATAAGACTTCAATTTTTAAAATGTAAATGGCATGTGCATTTATAATTGCAAACATGTGAGCATATGAACCTGGATTACAATGAAGTAAACTGGAGATGACTGAAGGGTAGCTGTGTTAAATGGCACAATTAAAAGTCATTTCTTAACTTTGTCTACCGCCCCCTTTTTCCTCCTGACTACCCTTAGCTTACCTCTCGATTTCTGCTCTAGCACCACCATCCTTCTGAAAACCTTGCTCTACCTGAGACACCTAGCCTACTACTAAGCATCACTCTTGGAGTTCTATTGGTTTGTCCTCTGAAATCTTTATTTTTTATTTTTATTTGAGAAATTAACAAGTACCGTATTTACATCACTTCTACCCCTCCTTTTCCCCCTCCAACTCTTCTCATGCCCCCCCTACTCCTTCTCAATTTCATAACCTCTTCTTAGATTAACACACACACACACACACACACAGCTACTGAGTCTACTATGAGCTCTTACTCTTCCTTCTACCATCACCCAATCTCCAGCTTTTTCTCATGTGTCACTATACTGTCTGAACAGCCCAGCTGTCTCACTGATTCTGCCCTTCTCTCCCTTCCATACCCTTGTCAGAACAACCTTCCCCATTTCTACTTTCACTCTGTCCCTCCCTTGCTCAGACCCTCCTCACAGGGGTAGCCCACACTCTACGCTGCAATTCCCTCTCTCCACCAGCAGGCTGGCATTGGTTCTCCCACACTAGATTCTTTTTCCCCTCAACAGAAACATGAACCTCAACCAGATCTATTTCTGTATCACTCTCAAAACTAAACTGTCTGGGTTCTTGTTCATGCTTGGTTTTCTTCTAAAAGCCATCTCCCTACCTGTCCATCCAATTAGAGCCCACACATCTTATATCTTCCCCACTATCTCTAATGCATATTAACATCTTTCTTCTCTAAAACCCTAACTCACTTCCTGCCTTATAATAGTACCTGTTCATTTGCTGTTTCATACTACTGGTTTAAAGAGCCATGCTTCTTCAATGAGTGCTATGAACAAAGAAAATTCTGTGTCTAGTCATTTGAGAACCTAACGGCTAAAATTAAGCCTAAAAATTGGTGACACATTTGAGTCCAAAACAGCATTGTGCCTTTGTCTATAATACAGATACTTTTTTCTCTCCATATAATCCTGTCTCCCTTAAAGACAGAGGTTATAGCTGGTTTTCTTCTCCTGGACCTAGCTTGGCCCTCAACATACAGTAGGGATTCAATAAATATTAATGAACTAAGTTAACAAGATTTAACATCTCTAACGTTTAACAGGTACACCTAATAGTCTGAAGAATTTGCTCTTTTTATATTCTTAGTGATTCATGCTTTAGAACAAATGAGTCACCAAAGTACTGAAGAAAATATACACTGAGTAAAGAGTTATCATTTTTTTTAGTTAGGTCATAAAATCATAATGCAATACCAGCTAACACTTATGCATCTACTTCATTAGGTGCTAGGTTTCTTTAGGTATTTTAGTTCACATGTTCCCACTTAGTCCTCATAATAAGTGCTATAATTACCTCTACATTGCAGAGGTGGATACTGGAGTTCAGGTGGATTTAAGGAATCCATATGAAGTTCCATTGCTTGTAAGTACTAAAGCCAGAATTACACTGAGGACCGCCTGACTTAAAGGTCATGCTATTAACCATTTTCCTGCTATTATAAAATGTAGTATAGGTCTATGTTTATCTTGTTGGAGGTATTTCAAAGTACTTAAACTTGAACAATGAATGGCAGATAATATTCCCAGTCCTGCTGCCTTTTATATGTCTCCTGGGCGTGGTTTCTGCCACATCAGACCATATGCAGCACTCCCAACACACGCTAGCCTTTCCTAACTCTCAGTTTCTGGTCTTCTGTTTCTCCTTCCCCTTGCATACAATCACCTCCCCATATCTCTAAAATCCCCTGAAATTCCATTAGCTCTTAAGTGCTTGAGATCAAGACAAAAGCTTAGGATTTTCTCTTTAATAGGTGGTTTAATGCTATACTTGGCTGGCTTTTAGAGCCACTTCATACCACTTCTGGCCTGGAGATCTAGTTCACTGCTTACTTTTTATATCCACATGGGTCATTATGAACAGCATAATGTCAGTGAAAGGGAGGATCTAAAGGACTGATATTTGTAAGCTCTGCCCTGAAAGTGCACAGAATATTGGTATGTTTTTCCAAAATGACATGTAAACTCAGAATTAAG